AGCAGTGAAGAAACCAAAACACAGTGCCTGATCATGAGAAATCAAAAAATTGAGGTGGAAAGAAGAAGATGCAGTAGCAATTTAGTTTTTTTTTCTGCAGCTCTGAAAAGCTAAAAATGCTCAAGGCAGTGGCAGAGCTGAGGCTAGCACCCAGAAAAGATAATGCCTATGCTAATGCAGTTCCCATAAGCATCACTTCCTTAGGACGCTGCTGAATTTTTATGGTTTGATGAAAAAAGCAGTGGGGGAAATAAGTGATTACCCCAGGCTTGGTTACAGGGGTTCATTAGATAGAATAATAGCCAATGAAATTGTATTTCTTAAGATTGACCCAAAGGATCGTTGATTTGTAGTAGCATTAACCACTGGCAAAAAAATATAAACAAGAGTTTGGTTAATGTGTTTGAGTTTAATAATGTAAATGGTAATGGAAAATTACTTGCACAATTGACTGCTTTCAGTGTTGCAATAGAAAAGAATTTACAATGCTGGAAATGTAATTATTGAAGGTGATTATAATTTTGGCTTCAGTTAGATCATTTTCCTTCCAAATACAACACTCTTCACTCCAATGAGATTATTCATAACTTATGTATTGCACTTGACTTAATTGGCATATGGTGTAAATTAAGCCCTCTCAAAAACATGATTTATGTGCTTTGTTCTAACCGATCTATTAAAGGCAGCTTGTTTTGCGTTGATTCTTGCCAATTTAGGCAAAGTGATTTCAGTTTGCTCTGTCGTGGCTTCTCCTTATCTGATCACTGTCCTGACTTATTATTCAACAACTGCAGTTAAGTTGGAGCCGTGTGATAAAGCTGATTGAAAATGTAATGCCAGTTTCTTGAAATCAGAGAACAAAATGTGTAGTAATTTCATTCATCAGAATAATGCACTTTTTATAGCATGGTCAATGTGCTCATTTTAAGCGTTTGGAGAAGCAGTAGATTGGTATTTATGATTTTTAAAAGCCAGGATTTCTAAACAGAAAACAAATTTTAAAGTGCAATAGGAAGGAATATATTACCCAAAATCTCTTATCTAATACATCAAGGAATTCATTAAAGATCATCTGCTTTTAAAACACATTTCTGCTATAACAAAAGGATTAGATCAGATAAAGGCCAAGGAGTCTTTTTAGTTCCCTTATTTTCAGATGGAAAAAAAACGGAGGAGAAAAACCTCTATTGGGGAAAAGGCCTCACCCATCTATAGGCAGAAGGATTCTGATCTGTTAATGTTATTATTGTTAGAAAAATATGGTTTAAATAGGTTAATTTTTTTAAAGCTATTTTGAAGAAAAATGCAAACTTCAGTAGTGCTGTGAATGGAAGCATAACCAAGAGACTCAGTGGGTGAATGTCTGCATGGAGATAGATACAGGAAGAGTGCCCTGACCCTATCTGTGTGTCAGACAGGGACTAGGGTTTTGTCTTTAAAGCATCCAGCTCAAGTGGTGCAAGGCAGCCATTTACCTTTCCTAATTTAGTTGGTGCAGTGTGTACCCAGTGAAAGGGGTAAGGATGGCAGCTGCATTTCAACCCTACAAATAAAGGACTGAGGGTGAAATTGAGAGAGACATAGAAGAGTGTGAGCAGTAGGAAAAGTGAGCACGGGACACTGTTCCTTGTGTCTTCTAATGCAGGCTGTACGGGCATGAAATGAGACTTGCTGATGGCATGTTCAGAACAGGCAAGCAGCCACTTCTTTGAATAGTGAGCTCAGGAACTCATTGCTGCTGAGGAGCTGAACACTTGGATTGGTTGAAAAAAGTGACCGGACAAATCCATGTAAGAAAAAATCATCAGGGGATATTAAACACAAAGACTTCTAAGATCTCTAGCTCCGGAAGTCTGATCCTTAAATGGCTGGGAGACTTGCTTTTATACCTCCTTGCCCTGTTTTTACAGCCTCTGGTCATCTGCTGCTGGCCACTTTTGGAGTGAGGGAACTGGCCTAAATGTGCCTGCAGTCTGAACCAGTACAGCTGTTTCTGCAGTGCGCTGCCCAGAGGTGGTTGCACAACGCTTTCAGCAACGTTAGCATGTGACTGGTGAGATCTAAGGGCTCGGTGAAGCACTGAAATCTGTAGCAGTCCGTGATGAGTCAGTGGTAGCTGTTGTCTTTCTCAGTTTTTCCTACTAATGATGCTTTGAGCCTTTGGCCAGTTCTGGTCTTTCCCGTGACTTGACTCCTGCTTATCGTTATTTGGATGCTGCTACTCCCAGGGCTGATGACTTTTCTAGCCTTACCCAAGCCCCAAGGAAGGAAGCACACAAACACCATAACCATGCCGGTCCTCTCAAAGCTGATTAGCACTTATGGAAAGAGACTTTCTGGCTGCAGTTCTTTTGGATTGGGGCTGTTGTTTTTGGCAGGCTGGCAGCAGTCAGGACTGCTGTGTTTTGCTGAACCATCCTTGGGCTTTCTAAACCCCATGCTCGTTAGTCACTGCTCAGCCTCTGTCTTTTCCAGCCACCCCCAGCACACTGCCAGGTTAGTCCTCCTGTTCTCCAGGCACAGGTGCTCAGGTTTTTCCACGGTGTCATTTCAAGTAGGTTGCAGTGGGAGAGACTGACGTTGTAAAGAAATGGGCACAAACTCTCCAGCTTTCTGTTACTGGAAAGTTGAACACTGAAATCTTATGTACATTATCTAATATTTGCTTTTGTTCCATGTGTGATACCTTAGCCTGAAAAACGTTGTTGGTTTTCATTTTATTTTGGGTGCTGGTAGTCACAAGCAACTACTTCAATCATTTGGAGTTGAAGAACATTTCCTAACAGTTAAACGTGCCTCTAACTTGACTTTAGAGAACTCAGTACAAAGAAACCTCCTCCCCAGCTACTCACAAAAACAAACAAACAAAAACCCCAACACCCTACAATTTAGTATGAAGCTCTCCTGTAAGATGCAATTTCAGGTTGCCCTCAGCCTTTCTCCCACTGTTCAGTGCGCCTACTGTAAGCTTTTTTGTTATTATTTTTTTAATTCCAGGGTGACTGAATAATAGTAAGGAAAGCCTAGAAGAACCTGATGGTTGCCAAAGCAGAAGGATGCCCAGGAAATGTAAGGAAGGCAGTTGCTACTATAGAAGTACAGCTCCGGGTGCCACACCAACTTTTCAGAACCCCCAAACTACTGCTTTTCTCAGTACCATAGATCAACGATTCCCAGGTTGTATTTAACCCAAAGTAAAGTCAGGATTAAACTTCTCCTACCATGGTGGCTAAGATCTAAACTTGCTATGAGCTGTTACAGAAGTCAGAGAAGGGTGAGGGCTCTAGATGTGGGTGGACTACAAGGACGAGCGTGAATATGCACATGCAGACTTCCTAAGGGACTGTGCTGGTTCAGACTGAGCCCATCACAGAGCAGTATGACTGGGAGGCTGGAGGCAGCTCTCTTAAGTGTAGAGAAGTCTTGTCATTCTTCACCTCCCTCCCAGCTCTGTGCTCATCTTTTTTTTTCAATTGTGCCTATTTCTATCCCATGGCCTTTCCTACCAGCCACTGCTTCTTCAGCCACCTCCTCCTCTTCCTCTTCTTCCTCCTCCCGAGGGCAGGCTGAATGGCTTCTTGGTTGCATGTTTTAGAGGAGCCATCCCAGTGAGTACCACTGTCTGTTGAAATTGTTTCATAGAGGGCTTTGGCAGCACTGACTGAGGTGTATGGGGATGGCGGTGCTTACACGGGGTGTGGAGCTGTCTGTGCTATAGACTCAGATGTAGAATAAAAACCTGGGGTCCTGATTTCTCACATCTCTGCCCCAGTCGCCACAGCACGTTTCCTTCTGCTTTCTCAAGCAGACACGAGCTTGCCCTCCTGCAGCACCTCACCGCCAGATCAATGCAAATGCCATGACTTCAGCACTTGTACCCACTTTATAAGCACTGGACAGCTGCTGCAGTGCTTGCAACACTCCTGATGTCACCGTTGGGCTTAAGCCAGTGGTCTATTTTATGATTAGAGATTTTGTTTTTCCCTGGAACAACTTCAAGGCTTTTTCATCGCTAGCTCATGTTTATTCCTTGCACCAGTGAAGTGCAGGAGGTGGGGAAAAACGGGTGAGTGGAAGAGACAGAGCGGTTCGTGCCAGGGCCTGACGGCAGTGCCTGCTGAACCAGCCCTCAGCAATGCTCATCTTACAAAAACTCAGAAGCTTGCTGAGAATTTTTTTTTTTTTGGATATGGGAAAACACCAAAATGAAGGCTTCTACGTGAGAGGCTTGGACTTATTTTCCTTTTCACAGCGTGCAGTGATCAGGCCTTCCCCCACCCCGGCCCCGTCAGTGGGCCTACGTGCCTCCTGAGGGGCAAAATGGATCATGTCCTAAACACAATAAACATTACTCTGTCTGGGTTAGTTTTTACATTTCTGTGTTTTATTTCTTGTTCTGTTTGAAATGACCTGTACCACAAGAATACAATTTATTTCACAGGTTTTTCTTTTTTTTTTTCTTTTTCTTTTTTTTTTTTTTTTTAGGAGCAGATAATAGTTAAGTAGATACTGTTTATGTCACTGACTGTCTATAACTCCCTGCATCATTCTCACAGCCTCTGTCTCCCCAGCTTCCCCATATAAGCCAGCCACAAGATCAAGAGTGGCCTTTGGCCATATGATTGATTATAGCTTGTGGATACAAAGTGGAAGCACTTTTTCTCAGCTCCAGTCGGCAATAAAAGCTCAACAAGTTACATTCTAGGGTCTTTCTCAGTGATTTTCCCCTCTAAGAGCTGCTTACATGTTCCTGGTGCAGCATGTTTTATTTTATACATTTGTTAATTGTTTTAAAAAAAAGATGACAGCTTACAAAGAGAAAAATAATGCCCCCTTAGCGTGAACAATACTGCAAGGTTCTGATCGTTGCAGGGGAGTTTCTTGTAGCTTCACAGTTTTGCTGCAAGGTGTAATGCCCAAGTTTCCCCAGAAACCTAATTCTGTGTGGTATTTTACCCTTTCTTCTAATTGATCCCCGTGAGATTCATTTTGCATTACAGGCCAGAGACCGCTGTTCCCAGAGAAGAATGTGCCCAAAAGAGAAGAGCTGGTCACTTGGGAAGAAGTGCCTTTTGCAGAGGCTGACAGGTAGGTGGTTTCTGTTATCCGCGCATGCAAATCAGGGGCTCGAGCTCTTTTACCATCACAGTAGCTGTATGTCGGCTCCATGCTTATTCACCATCACTGATACACTTACCTCTTTCTTTTCTTTCAGTCACAGAGGCCGTTTGTGTCCCAAGGCCCAGACTCTGGCACCTTTTGCCCCACGCAGAAGGACAGCTGTATGGAGCTGACTGTGACTCCCAAGTTACAAACAAATGGTATAAAAAGCACCGACCAGAGCCCAATTCCTGGTTCATGGCTCAGGTACCACATCTCCAGACCTTTTTGTAAGAGGCTATGAGCATTCAAAGAACTAAGCAGTTGCTGAAGCCTCATTTCCTATTTCCAACTGCACTGAGAGAACTACGCTAAGATGCCACCCCTCTCTACAGGCCCAGCTCACCGTGTAGCTGGACATGCCCCTCAGTTGTGGCAGCGTGCTAGTACTAGTGATGCACAGACCAGAATAGCTGGGAAGGGAAGAGGCGCATGGGATTCCTGCACCTGTCTGAAGGGTCCAAGAGACCTGACCTGCTTCCCAATTAAAGATGGTACAAGACTTTGAAGGGTTAAATTTAGACACGTGTTTCTATCCCAGTTCCTGGGGAGGAGTTTGCATTCCTGGTGTAAAGAGATTAATAAATGTTAATTACTGCCTGGTTCAGGTCCCATCCTATTTCAGACGCAAACATTTCCGAGCCTATTACCTTCAAGCAATGGGGGATAACCAGATGGGCTCCAAGGTTATGCAGCTGTAATGGAGAAAGATGGTCCTGAAAAAAAATATGCATTTGGTATCTTTGTATTGTTCTGCCAACGCAAGAGCTGCCTCCATACCATAGCTCAACTCTAAATAGCCAGCAGTGGCTGTGGGCTACAAGCTGATGCAGCAGCTCTCCTTTATAGTCATGCCTGTAGGTTGTTCTCCCTTCTGTTCTGGAAAGCAGGCCCAAATCCAAATTCAATAAAGCTGGAAGAGCCTTTTGCAGCATCACAGAGTGGTTGAGGTCATCTGCTCCAAGCCCCCACTTGATCACTTGGGTGACTTAGAGCAGATTGCTCCGGACCATTTATTAAATGACCTTTCCAGCCAGGATCCCACAGAACAGGACTTGCTTCTAGGAGCTTTTGAGCCCACCTTGGGACAGCTGCTTATGCACAGCTGTGAAGCAAGTTCAAACACAAAGTACTGCGGCTGGCCTGAGCGGGACTCGGCTGGGAAGCAACAGTGGTCAAGTGAGTCCCACTTAGAGGGGATCGTGCAGCCCAGCAAACTTGTGAGTATTCGTGCCACAGCCAGAAAGAGTTGCCAGGTTGCAACACATGGCAAGCTGGCTCCAGTGATGGCTTGCATTTCAGTTTGGTCCCTCTCAGTCACAGATGGGTACAGGGATCATCAGCGCAACCAGAAGCTATAATTTTCTCCCCAGCTGCCTCTGGGAGGGAGATGAGGAAGAGAAGCACAAGTATCTGTTCAAAGCACAAGGCCACTGTGTAATTGCTGCTGCAAGCATGAAAACAGTCCCAGCTCCCATGTGCCTTCTGCCCCTTAGGTCTCTGTTGGTTTACTAATGTGCCTGAAGCAAGACCGAATTCCTTTATTGAGTACAAAATGGGTGAGAGCAGCTATGACTGTACAGTGCACGGCGAACTCAGAGGAGATGGAACCGAACTGACTCACGTACCAGGAGTGGGCTGGCTACACGAGCTGAGAGCTCAGTAGCAGCAGCCTCAGTCTCTGAGCTAGCCTGACCTTCACACTGCAGCACCGAGAGCCTGCACAGTGACACGTTCTGCTCCAGTAGAAAACAAGCACCCACTGTCTCCCTGATCACACACCTTGACCATCTGGAAGGGTTCCTGCTGGGGCCACAGCACCTGGGCTATCCAGGAAAGGACAGAAGCTTGATGGGAACAGAGGCAGTAGAGGTCGTGGTGTCTCAAATGCAGATCAGAGACTTGCTCGCCTCTCCTGCCATGCCACTGACCACAAAACAGACAATACGTTCAGGTTTCATCAGCTCAGGCTGGCTCAGATCTAAGTGACCAAGAAAATAACATCTCAGAGAATGCAAACAAGCTGCTTTTGTCAGTCACCCAAATTCCCTTCTGCCAACTGGGAATGCAGCAGTTGTGGCTTAGACAGCAGATCTAAACCAAGGCTTGGATGCAGCAGGAACCTTGTTACATGAGAGGAGTAAATAAACATTCCCCCACTTCTTCTCCCACCACCTCGAGGTCAGGTATACAGCTTTTTCCATCAGCAAGAGAACCTCTTAACAGGTCCAGGGACAATCTATGCTAGCTAGCTCTTTTGCTGCTGTTGAGGATAACAGGATGAGGCAGGGGAAGACAGTAGTTGGGATACTGGATTTGGGGGTTCCACACCACCCTCTAAGTTTATTTCCCTAGGCTGTCACAAAAAAAATAAAATAAAAGCAATCTCTTGGGCTCAGGAGCTGCCTCCACGAAAAAGCGGTTCCTTTGATTCCTAACTAGCATTTGGCAATAAGCCTTAGTCTGTGTGGAGGCAAAGATCTATCACTTTAATGAAGTCTAGGAAAGCCCTGGTTCGGGGTGTACTTATACTTGGGCGGTAACCATGCAGACAAAGCCTTGTGTTCTGTGCCACAAGGAACGAGTGGGGAATGGCACTCAGCTGAGCTGAAGAGGCAGGTTTGATACACTACAGGGCGAAAAGTGTGGAAGAATTGTAGTTAGCACCACATAGGAGAGGATGCAGAGATTATCAAGTCAACCCAGCACGAGAGCTTACATTGGGCTCTTCTCTTTCCTTGCCCTCTGGGAAAGGAGACTCGCGCTCTCTCAGGGACGCACATCCTGCCTCTTCAGGGTCCTGTGGGGATTGTGCATGGGAGGGACTAGCCAGGCGTAATGACACACTGTACAAGGTCGCAGAATATCTTACACAGTTAGGAGCATCTTTCCCGGTAAGAAGTGGGGCCTGTATGTACAAGTGTTAGCTGTCGCTAGAGGAGCCCGGGAGGCAGCCGTTGCGATCAGGAGAGGTCCAGTAGTGCCCCTCTCCAAAGGAGCACCCGCCCTATGGTTAGAACCAGAAAGGTGGCGAAGTGAAGGACCCTGGCTGCTTCCCCTTCTATCTAACCCCTCGCAACACCAGCAGATCAAGTTTATATTGACTCTATTCTTCCTCTCTTCCTGCTTTAGTCCCCAGTCCCCCTCCAGCACTGGCGGAGGGAGCTGGGGAGCAGGCGGCCTGGACAGTGCTAAGAGCATCACCGCTCAGAGGGGCCGAGCCCCAGCGACCGCCTCAACAAGTGCAAGAGCATATTCTGGTATTTCCCACAGAGAAAACAAATGAAAAAAAGAGAAACAGGTGACTGATTAAAAGAGTTTCCCCCCTCCTGTACACGAGATTCTGCAGTCACGCCGACAGATAGACATTAAATAATTCTTCCATAATAAATGATTGGAGATAAAAGCCGGCGGTGGCTGCTGCTGCTGTTTGGATTGCTCCATTGTCTGCATCTTTGTTTCTAGTTTGTTCCCCGGCCACTGTCGGCTGGCGCTGGGGCTGTCAGACCTTTGCCTCTAGCATTTCTAGGAAGAGTTTATGCATGGGAACCTTGCCCTGCAGTTTGATGCTGTAGAAGTGCTGCACAGCTTTGGCGGCCGTCTGCCGCAGGAGGGGCAAGGTCAGGAGCAGCTTGCCTGCTCGCCGGGGCTCCTCATTGCGCTGACTCAGCTCGTAGTCCTGCAGGGCTTCGTGGAGAAGGTCCTGGAGTTTCTGCACTGCATCCATGTCCTCTATGTGCATGGAGTCTGGGGGGAGGGAGAAGAGAAAACAAACAGCAAAATCAGACATGAGGAGGGAAACGCGTTACAGTCCTTAAGCTAAAGATGCTTCCTTTATTTTATTGCTTTTCTGGTTTTGTTTTGTAAATGAAAAAAATTTTACTGGGTAAAAACACCTTGCTGGCAGGTGCTGCTGCTCCAAAATTTGGCATGAGCCCCCAGGAGCTGGCCCTAGGAGTGCAGGAACAGTGAGGCTGTTGCTGGGGTTGATGACACCTTGTGCCCCGTGTGCCCACTTCGCTGGTACCCCAAGTCTGTGTGGGGGTCAGCCTGGGGCCTTTGCGACTCACACTTCCACTTGCCCTCCATGCTCCTGCCGGGGAGAGTCACCCTGCAAGGGGCAGCATCTGCTGTGCTGCCACTTGGGAGCAATCTCATTAAGAATAATTAACACTGCTATAGTGCTTCATCTGTCTAAACTGCCTAATTGCCGTGCAGCTGCTCAGGGTGTCAGCAAGACAGAAAAGCCCCAGTAGGTCACAACCGGTGTGCACAGGGGTGTTGCTGGCCCCACCTTTGTGCATATGCCCCTGCTTTCAGAGACTGCCAGCAGCTGCTCGGAGAGCTTCCCGTTTCAGTCCATCACAGAAATCCGTGTGTCCTGCAAGGCCCCTTCCCCCAGGCTGCCAGTCAGATTCCTACAAGCTGCTGAGGGCCTTGCAGAGTGTGCAAGGCTCCCTGGTGTCTCTCTGGGGCAAAGGTAGCTCGTAGTGACCCCATCCAGGGTCAAGCTGAGGTATGTGAGGTGAACACGGGCGAACACAGGCTGCTAAACTCGTGGGTAAGTCCTGATGACAATGGGCAGCACCACCGAGGGGAGAGGTTGTTCTGGAGAAGCTTCCCAAAGACAGCATCGCTGATGGCTTTGCTCCCTTTCATCTCGCTGATACTGGCTTCTTCCTTACAACTCCAACAAGAGCAGGAGACACCGTTGCCTTGTCTTCATTGTTCAGAGACTTTTAATCAATATTGAACCTATTGATAAAGATTGCTGCCACAGGGCAACGAATCCAGGAGCAGCAGCAAAGGGATGCTAGAATAAGCACGCGTGCACGCAGAACTGCACCCGTCTGCCCCTCTAGCTGGGCTTTGCAGTGTAACAGGGGGCTGGCTCAGCCCACACACATCCAACACAAATGTGAGGGCTTGGGTTCCTGGGTCTGACAGCAGTGAAGAGGAGGGAAGCTGGCTGAAATGCCCAAATCTCTCTAGAAATATATGTCACCTCTGTGGAGAGCTCAACACAAATTAGAGACTGTGAATTTCATAAAATACATGTACAGTTATATCTACTCATGGTGCATGATTTATGAAGTATTACAACAGTTGAGAAAATATTCTGTCTAGCAAGAAAGCTGTTTAAGAAGCTGTTTAGAAGGACTCCACTAACTAGAGGATATTAAAGGGTTGAACT